TGAGAGAGTGTGGCCTGACCAGGTAATCCAGTGCTTTCGAGTTATTTCTGGCTTATTTTGACCCTATCAAGGGGGTTTGCTTGGCAAGTTTCTCCAGAGGAGGGTTTCCATTACCATCTGAGGCTGAGAGAGTGTGACCTGCCCAGGGTAATCGAGTGCCTTGGAGTCATTTCTAACTTATGGCGACCCCTATCATGGGGGTTTGCTTGGTGAGTTTCTTCAGGGGAGAGTTGCCATGGTTATCATCTGAGGCTGAGAGAGTGTGACTTTCTTAAGGTCATGTGTTTTTTTTTCCTCCAGCCCCTCCAATGGTCTGAGGGATGGCGAACCAGCCCCTGGCTCAAAACGTTTGAGGACCCCTGCTCTAGAATTCTGGGATTTGTAGCCTTGTGAGATATTTAGCCTTTTATCTCTGAGAGCTCTGGTGCCACATGAATTCCATAGCATTGAGCCACAGCAGTTAAAGCGGTGTCAAAATGGATTATTTTTGCAGTGTCGATGCAACCATAGGTTTCTGGTTGGCAATGGTAGGAACTGAACACTGATAAGCCTCTGGTCTGATCCAGAAGGGATAATCTTATGTTCTCATGGATCAAATTTGAGGATTATAATTTTAAAGTGTGCGGACGCTTATCACTGTGGATGGAGCAGAAAGAGATACTGGACCGGGGATTTTGTGTTTGATGTTCTCACTCTCAACCAAATTCCTGCTTGGTTACAGGGGTCTGTTTTAGCCAACAAGGAAATGAGGTGGGTTTTTTTTTTCACTCTGGTGCTCAAAAAACAATTATTTCTTTGTGTCCTATTGATTTTGCTGGTGGCTCAACTGGCAGCCTTGAAACTCTAATGGTAAATCTTCTTTTCAGGATAGGAGTGGGTGGCAGCAATGTAATAATGACACTTCTGTGTGTGTTTGTACTAGTCTCTCCTGTGTTGCCGATCATCCTTTTTGCCTTGTGTAACCTTTGCCGCGTTTGGAAGCACGCTTACCTTCTCTGACCAGGTGCCACTCTTCTTGATCACACATATATCAATCAAAAAAGGCTAAATGAAACCAGGATAGATGGAGATGGATCAGATATCTGTCTATAGTTCTTTTTTACATTAGTTTGGTACAGCTTTTTAAGCTCTCAAAAGGCTTCACATGCATTACACCAGTAATCTGTACAGTCAGCCACATGGCAGGCAGTTGAAGCAATATACAAATATAGCAATATAACCCAACACATAATAAAATCAGTGAGGGGGGAGCCTTCACCGCCAGAAAAAAATATAAACAAAGAGATACAGCTCACGAAATGGTTCACATACATTACAGCAGTATTCTCTGTACAGTCATCCGCCTAGCAAGCATTTCAGACAATATACAAATAAAACAAGATAATCCAACACATCATAAAATGAGTTTTAAAAAAGAAGTCTTCAGCACCATAGAAAAATAAAGAGATACAGAATGGTTCACGTACATCACATCAGTAATCCACACAGTAATCTTATGATACAGGTCCGGTATTAATAGTATAATTTGCAATTGCACTCATCCCTCCCTGTTCGCGGACTTGGAGTCTGTGGTCTTGGTCCTTTGCGGATGGCAAGTAGGGAGGGATAAAATGGCACGCGCACAATGCCACACGCAGGGGCACACGACCATTGTAACCAATGGCAATTTGAATTTTTGCATTTTTTTGGATTCGTTTTTTCCTCCCACAACGGATCCCTACGAATCAGGAGGGACACCTGTACTGTCAGAGGGTTTGTTATACGTCCCATCTTTGAAAAAGGAGAGGTTGCTGAGGACTCAATACAGTGCCTTTTTGGTAGTAGCACCTCTTGAGCTTTTAGTGGAGCTTTAATGTCACTCTGTAATTTTATTTTTTTCTCTCTATTTATATATCAATAGAACTAAAGGATGTTTGTTTGTTTTGGCTGATTTTATTACGTGTAAAGTGTTATTGCTCTATTTGGATATTACTTCAAGTCCCTGCTAGGTGAAGAGTTGATTTACAAATGTGTAACACAAGATCCAGCATGGTGTAGTGGTTTGAGCATTGGACTACAACTCTGGAGGCCAGAGTTCGAATCCTGGCTTGGTCATGTCCTAGTCGGATGCTCAAAGCACTACACCAAGTACGGTTGCCACAAGTCGAAGTCGACATGATGGCACTTAACCATGACAAAATATTGAACATAGACAAATTGGGATATTCAGGAATATAAATGAACATTCGCTATTGAGATTATAGGCTTATACATAGATCACACTTTTGAGTGTTCCTTTGGAAAAAAATTGTTAGTTATTGGTTTTAAAAGGTAACTTATGGTTGTTATTCACTATTAAACACGTTCAGTGTTAAAAGAATTTTCAGCAGTGGAACAGACTTGCTTAGAAATTAGAAGAGTCCCCATCTTTAGACGTTTTAAAGCAGAGAATGGGTGGCCATTTCTTGGGGGTGTTTTAGGCATAGCGGGAGGTTGGACCTTAAAGGCTGCATCTGCACTGCAGAAATAAAGCAGTTTGATACCACTTTGACTTCTATGGTTCCATTCTATGGAATTCTGGGGTTTGTATTTTGGTGGTGAAACAGAGCTCTCTGACAGGGATGGCTAAATATCCCACAAAACTATAAATCCTAGGATCGCATTTAGTCATGGTAGTTAAAGTGGTGTCAAACTGCTTTATTTCTGCAGTGTAGCAACAGTTAAAGTCCTTTCCAACTTTATGGTTCTAAAACCATAAAGTTCTGGGCACTTCTACATGCTTCTTACAGAGCATAGCATAGATTGATTGTTTGCTGGCTCGTCCAGCTGATTTAATATTTAACTCCACAAGGCATCTGGATCCGTGTTTGGTACGTAAAAATCTTTCGCACAAAAAAAGCTTTTGGGGGAGTGAAATTTCCAGTAATCCTCTTGGCTGGAGAGTTATTCTTGCTCAGGTTTCTTGCATATCATTTTTAAAAGACATCCATACTGGGGATGGCTACTATGGACACATCTGTCTGTTAGCACTGTTTCCCCTTGGGCCCAACAACCTTTCTTGGAATTTTGCAGGCTGTTGTTTTTGGAAAAGATGCTTAACTCCTGGTGCACCAGCATGTTCAAGTACTGAGCCATGCACAAGCAATGGCACAGCTTTGTGTAATCTTGGCAAGGGGAAGCTGTTGCCTTGGCAAACCCTAGAATGGATGAACATTCAGGGGTATCTGTGTTGGCCATTTAGCAAATTCAAACAAAAATCGATCAGTGATACCTTTATTGGCCAACCAAAATGCACAATGGACTTGTTGCAAGCTTTCAAAGCTCCATGGGCTTCTTCATCAGGCAAAACGATACAAACCAAACAGGAGAAAAACAATTGGAGATGTTAGTCAGATGTGAACATTTTCTTGGGGTCCACAACTATGATGTGGTAAATGGCTTGGGCCCTCAATACTTGAAGGGACATCCCTCCCTAAGTACACATGCCCAAGGGCTCAGGTCTGCAAGAGGACCATTGGAGCAATGCATTTTGGAAGAATGTAGAGAAAAGCTTTCTCTGTTGTGGAACCTGATGGTCAAATATCATTCCTTTAGAGGCATGGTTGTGTGTGTTGTGTGCCTTCAAGTCATTTCTGACTTATGATAAAACTTGAATCAAACTTGTTCTATTCTGTCGGGACCAAGATTCAGTAAACTGCTCTGCTAATTTCATATGCCCAAGAATGCCTTGGGCTTGTATTTCTTCCCCTGCCTGATAGTTGTTGTAATGTGCCTTCAAAATGTTTCCA